GCACATCCTCAAGGGCAACTTCGAGAACTACGGCAAGGTACGCAGCTAGGTCGACAACAAACATCAATGTTTTGAAGAAACTGTTCTTCTTTTCATTAAAATTTAGTTCTTCAAAGATCTTTGTATCTTTCATCCTCCGTGAACCCTTTTTCCCATCCTTAGTGTCTAATTTAACATAGAAATCAAATCATCGAGACCTTTTTCCTTCTCGTTTACTAAGATAGCAACATGATATAAGAACTCTGTATTAGTAAATATCTACTAATTCTGGTTCAGGGATGGTATAACTACACAAATTTGAAGGATTTGTTTGGAGATGGTATCTTTGTAGTGGATGGTGATAAGTGGCGTCACCAACGCAAGCTTGCTAGCTTTGGGTTCTCCACCAAAGCCATCAAAGATTTCAGTGGTGCTGTTTTCAGAAGTAACGCAGCCAAGCTTGCTCATATTATTGCTTCCTATGCCAACTCCAACGAGAAGTTTGAGATTCAAGTAAGTACCCAAGTCAATTGTGTTCGTCTCCGCAGTGAACTGCTTGTGATCCGTAAACGTCTACAGGGCTTGTTCATGAAATCCACAATGGACTCCATATTCAGGACTGCGTTTGGGGTGGAATTGAATTGCTTGGGTGGTTCCGATCATGCCGGCAGTGAGTTTGCCAAGGCATTTGATGCTTCAGGTGAGATCATCACGCTGCGGTACATCAATGTCTTTTGGAAGATCATGAGATTTCTGAACATTGGCTCTGAGGCAACTCTCAAGAAAAAGATCAAAGTGGTGGACGACTTCGTGTACAAACTGATACATCTCAGGATTCAGCAAATTTCAAGCACAGCAAATGATTTGGTACGTGAATACATACTTTTATGCACACTCCGATCTCTCTGTTTCGTTTGGACGAATCCACCTTGTTAATCTCTGTTATGACAACAGGCAAAGAATGAAGACATTTTGTCAAGATTTTTGGAGGAGAGCAAAAAGGATCCACAAAATATGAGCCTCAAGTATTTGAGGGACATAATGCTTAACCTTGTGCTTGCCGGAAAAGATAGCACCGCAAGTACGCTTTCATGGTTCTTCTACTTGATCTGCAAGAACCCCTCGGTGCAAGAAAAGATTTACCGGGAAGTCATGGAAGTGATTGAATCTAGCGAAGTTGATGCATTTTCGAGAAATATAAACGATGAGTCCCTCAACAACATGCACTACCTTCATGCCACCCTTTCAGAGACACTAAGATTGTATCCTGTAGCTCCAATAGTAAGTCGATCGAAATCTTGTTGGTATCTAAATGTATTGTTCCAAATTAAGCGTGCATGAATGGTGATTGCTGAATCATACACAATGCAGGACAATAAGGTTTGCTTTTCGGATGACATTCTACCTGGTGGCTATAATGTCAAAAAAGGTGACATTGTGTTCTATCAACCTTATGCGATGGGTAGAATGGAATTCCTGTGGGGTGAAGATGCAGAAATTTTTCGCCCAGAGAGGTGGCTGGATGATGATGGCATCTTCCAGCCTCAAAGCCCCTACAAGTTCTCAGCCTTTCAGGTGAGGAAACAGATGAGTACTACAGGACCTTATGCTCAATTTCCATTCTTCTCAAAAGACAAGAGTAGCATATATGCTGGTGTATCGATCATTAACGTCTTCAGGAGAAGGAAGGAAAATTTTAGTAGACTCAAAGCTCAAACTGCATGTTCTACACGATGTTTAAGCCCTCATATGCTATAACAGTTAGAATGACAGATAATTTTCTCTGGTGATCGAGCTGGTTCATGAGTTCTCTTTGTGTTGTTTCATTCAAGGCTGGTCCGAGAATCTGCGTGGGGAAGGAGGTGGCCTATAGACAAATGAAAACATTTGCAGCGGTGCTTCTGCGCTTCTTCAAGTTCAAGCTCAGTGACAAGAAGAAGGTTGTCCATTACAAAACTTCCACAACCCTTCTCGTAGATGAAGGTCTCAACCTTGAAGCACTCCATAGATAAAACTTATATAGCTACCAATTTGAGCAATGTCATATGGCTCATAATGAACTTGTTGTATGTGAGAATACGCATAGAGTTTCACTCTTCTCTTGCCTATAACAATGTTTTACAATGACTTTGTATTGGATAAATATATTATGTCTGTATCGATACATTTCGTATATCATCAATACTTTGTTGCAAGATTAGGTCCAGATATAAAAGTTTAATCAGCAAGCATACATTGTAGTTCTTAGGGGAAACGAAACTTTTTCCTCTACTATTACAGAGTTCATTAGGGAAACGTCATACATCTTTGGGTTATAATCAAAGCAGTTTTTACTTACCATTTGCTTATGATTTCAGAATTACTATTATAAATAGAGTAATGGCTTTATCTTACCTTTATTATAGAGTTTATCCTATACGATCATATTCATTCTCGGTAATGAATATGATTAATATATGCTAATTAGTAGTGCTAAAGTTTTTTTTTTATATGTGGACTTCCATTTATATTTTATGTCTATATTTTAGATATTATAATTATTCTTCTTATGATTGATCGAAGAATTTATACATCCAAAACATTGATTGATGTATCAAAAGATTATCCAATAATCAATATCACCGATAAAATTTTACCAGTGATATTAATAATTAATATCACCGATAAAAGATTATCCAATAATTTTTTTACCCAAGAAATCCGATAAAAGATTATCCAATAAAGATTATCCAAGAAATCCTGGCGGAGAAAAAAGAAAGGCAAGTTTATAAGATTCGTGCCGAGCACGGAGACTAAAGTCTCTGATTGCATCTGCCGTCCGATTTGGGGCCAAAAAGGTAATAACGCATAATATTGGGAACATCGGTTAAAAATAGTTGCAACCGCAGACATTAAGCGCAGCATCCGAAAGTGGAATTGGGCGTAATCTGTAATTAGATCCTTATTTGATTTAGATCCTCCAATTTGGAGAGGAGGGAGGACGCAAGGAAATGGCGACTCCCGGCGAGAACGATCAACAGTCGAGGAAGAGGAAGAAGAAGACGGCGGTCGGCAAGGAGATCGGCGGGAGGTGGCCGCCCGTCAAGCCCAAGAGGGATCTCCAAATCAACCGCCTTAAGGGCACCAACCTATTCACGGTTTGATTTCCTTTCACCACCCACGATGAATCTTCCTTTATCTTCTCATGCTTTTAATTGCTTTTTTTTCCCCTTTGTGCTGTCTTGATTTTTTTTTTGATACCCTTTTTATTTATTTGCCGTGTTTCTTGGATTGTGGAGGGTATTATTAATTTTCTTGAGAAATAATGAATATCAAAAGAAGCCATATATGTGTAGTGATTGTTGTGAATCCTTTACCCAGTGTATTATACATGAAGAATATCATGTTGTCTAGGTGTACTTGGAGCACTTCACCTACTTTGATTACATGGGACATTGCCAATCTAATACATATTGGTTAATCATGCACCGAACTGAACCATTTAACTATTGAATTACATTCAAGTGGGCATTTGTTGTTTGTCTTAAGAAGTTTTTGGTAACATGAAGAGATGTTCTTTAAAGCACTATCATCAATTGTATCTCCTTTTGCAAATACTTTTCAGATACCAAACTTCTTCACTAGTTCTGAATCAAAGGCCTTCGTTCGAGCTGCGGAGTCTATTGGCTTTATCCACCAAGGAAGCCTGGGTCCAGCCAAAGGCGAAGCCTACAGGGACAATGATCGGATATCAGTTACTGATCAAGGACTTGCTGAAAGCATATGGCAGTCAGGCCTTAAAAGAATATTTGATGATATTAAACTTCAGGGAAAAGTTTCTGTTGGTCTGAATCCAAATATTCGTTTCTACAGGTTATGACCTAATCTTTTTTTATGTTTCTTCTATCTTTACATTATTCTGTGCTCTTGATTCTACATTCATTCAACATTAAAAGAAATAAAATGATCTTTCAGTAACCTTAGTAAAGGGCTCCTTGATGTCTGGACTGCCACATTTTGTTTGAAAGAAAAAATGCCATTCATGTCAAAAAAAAAAAAAAGTCGCAAGAGGGATTAGGCAAAAAGCTTACTGTGGCAGCTTAACAAAAAAAAAGGAGAATCCATTACTTCTACCAAAATTTACCAAGTCACAAGCTTCAGAATTAGGGTTCCTAGGCAGGTGGTCAATTTGAACAACAGATAATTTGGCTAATAGAACTCTAGTATCAGGTAAATAGCTAAAATATGCCAAGTGATTTCAGCAATACTTTTTACAAATTTGATAATGTTCAGTGCATCAAGTCGGATCCATAAATTACTCCAGCTTACCCTCTCTGCATGTTTGAGGGCTGCCAAAAGAGAGAGTGCTTCCACAATTATGGGAGTGCAAGCACTACAGTGGACACAACCAACAGGATTGTGTTGCTGTTTGTCGTGAAGATGAGTTCCAATAGATGTATGGAAGCCAGGCGAAACCATCAGATTCCAGAACGCAGTCATAGTTAGCGTAGTTTGGGTCATAAATGTTAGGATTAGTATCCCTAGCCCCCTCAGAAAAATGACTGTCATAAAGTCATTTATAAGAGCCAGTGCTTTGTGTACTAAAAGTAGAGGTTTGGACTGGCAGTCGTGAGATATGACTTTTTGTATTAAGCCATAGACACCAAAGGAGTATGAAATAAGTGAAAGAGTCCGTCTGGAGGTTGTTCTGTCAGTTCCCCTTTTTAACGGAATCCACTTCATGAGAATGTGATTGATGGTGTTAAGCTTTTGATGAAGGATAAGCATGGGATTAGGTTTGGAGAAAGTAGACTGGAATCCCACATTTTGTTCCAACTAGACTTGCAAACATAATTATTCCACAGGATAGAGAGTGATTCGTAGTGTTTGCTATTGCCGTTCAGTTGGATGGTCCAGGATTTGCTTCTTTGGGGGTCTTTGTTTGAAGGAAAATGGACACCATCCTTGTGGCACACACTAAAGCCAGCTGGAATGTTCCTCGTGCTATCTTTTGATTTCTAAAATTGTTGATAAAACAAATTAATAGTGAAATACAATGAATGTAGACGTATTGGAGAATTTACATATGAAACCATGAGCATTAGGATATGGTTAAGGTTCTTTACTGGATGTACATAATGCATTTATCATGGCAGAACTATTAGTTATTATGCAAAATGTGTAACTTGTTTTACATTCTTCAGATATAAGGTGGGCCAGCGGTTTGGTCGACATATTGATGAGAGTGTTGATCTTGGAGGAGGACACGTAACACAGTACACCTTATTAGTATATCTCACTGGCAAGGGCAGCAACCACGACACGTCCATGCAATCTCTAGTCGGAGGGGAGACCGTCTTTTATGATCGAGGAATCGTAGAGGAGGTATATATCAACCATGGACTGGAGACAGTAACCTTTCCTATTTCATTTACATTTCCTTTGCGATTTCTTGTTCTTAGTGTCATAAATGTCCAGAAATTTAAGAGTGATGTTCTTTATTGTGTTCCATGCTGATTGTTCTTCATTGCAGGTTGCTCCAGAAGAGGGAATGGCTCTGCTCCACATTCATGGAAGCAAATGCATGCTACATGAAGCCCGTGTTGTTACAAAAAACATCAAATATGTGTTGCGTTCCGATGTGGTTTTTGCCTGATGCATCCAAAACTAGTCCCCTTTGGGTAAGGCACAGGCTTACAAAGCTGATCTTTCTCTTTTCTATTGGCTCGAGAGTTAATTTGTTGACCTTCTCCTTTCTGTTTACTTCATAGAAGAGTGGTGAAACTGAGTCTTTTGAAGCTTCGGCATGGTTTGCAGGAACAAACTCAAGTTGCTGTTATATTTATTGATCATGCTTATATTGGCTACTGTAAGCGAGGATCATAACCTACCTACTGTCTATCAGGCATTGGGACCTGCGGCCAGGGGATCTCTTGTAAGAGTGGTGATGTGGAATGCAGATTTAGAGAAATGAAATCTAAGCTGCCATCATGCGATTGTACCCAATGAGACTTATGCCCTTGGCATTACGATTGATGTTTCTCTTGCACAACTTGAGTTTGACACTGTGTAACCTTGCATGGATAAGGATTTTTTTTTATCCCAATCTCTGCCTCTGCTAGATTTTACTGTCTCGTGTCCTCTTAATCGAAGGCATATCCCACCCACCTGCTTGGCTGCAGGTCATCTTATGTCACACTTATCCCTCTCCAGATTCCAGATCCAAAGCTTACTCCCAGTACTACAGGATTTCACATCTATTTGATGTGCAAGTGTCTCCCATCTCTGATATTCCACATGCAAGCTGAAATGGGGGTACAGCTCATGCTAAGAAGAACATGGTCAAGATCTAGTTCCTGCTCATAAGCTATTTGATACGGCTTTTCCCTCTTTTTGTTCTTGAAACTGTTGTTCCGACACGAAAATAATTGCAATGTGTAACTGCAATTTGTGGTAGGAGAAACTTCTGATATAGGGAAATTTGGGATAATATGAAGAGTTAAAACGAAAAAAAAATATACTAGAAAATTGTCAAGAAGTTTGGGAGAAAAGAATGGGCTCCAAAAAGAATACTGAGGTTGTGAAACAAAATTAAATTGCTACTAGAGCGAAATTGACAGCCCTGCCAGCGTATGTTATCTAAAACAGCTCAACTGTTCTTTCAAGTCATGTCTCATAGTTCAAAGCAGCAGAAGCTTGGTAAAAGAATGAAACTCCTATCAACAGGGCTGCAGTCGGATATTACAATTTTATGCATGCCTTCTTTTTTTTTTTTTTGAGAAGATGTGAATGACTAAACCCATAGAAAAGGGAAGTACAAGAATTTGCAATGTCTCTTCACTGAAACCATGAAGTGAATCATCCATCAATCCAAATTGGTGACATGTAGCTTCTCCTGTAGAATTAAGGATACCTAATCAGCACATTAGCATCAACAAGGATCACCTTCTTGTGCCTGCTATGTAGATAATTTTTGTACATCCAATTTCCAGATATAACTCATACCTATGATGTCACAGGTCAAACATTGATGACAGAACAATAATAACACCGAACAAGTATTACTTAACGAGAATCAAATACATGTTCCGGAAATACAAAGAGTAGAAAACCAGCATCCGTCCTCCCTTCCAGGATAAATGAAGAAAAAAAAACATACGATGTGCAGAGGGAGGGTAAAAATAATAATTTAAG